AATAGCAGGATCAGAGATCTCGCATTCGGAGCCATATCTTGCCTTCTGATGAGCTGATGCAGCATGTTCACACCGCACAACTTTTTTATATGACTATAATTCATGAGTTAATTCATTCAGTCCGAATAAGGAATATGTATTATAGTGAGATTAATGACTTATTATTACATTCATAGAAAAATTTTTACTAGTATTAATTATTAAAGATATGCAATTAATGGGCTTAAAGAGTGGTACTCCATCTTCTATGCATTTATCTAAAAATAGGGTTTCTTATTCAATTATTAAATATAGGTTTCAGTCCTCCACATATTTAGCCGTAGAATGACAAGCAAAAATTTAGAGTACAATACCCCATCATATTTTTATGTATGTTCATTATTTTTTTTCTCTCTATCCTCCTTCCAATACATTGTATATGCGCTTATAGTTGATATAAATGCAAAATGCATCTTCGACATAATAAAAAAGAGTAATAATGGGGGTTTGGTCTAGTGGAAGAGAGAAATGCCTTATAAAATGTAGCAAACCAAAATTCAAATTTTGATGGGAGATATACCTACATTTAACATAATGCTCAATTGTACACGTGCTTTGGATAAAATTGTCTCAAATAGTAGGACACTTGTGCACAATAAAAAATTAAGAAATAATAAATAGGAGTATGTATGCTAAAATGTCTAGGTAATTGTGATTGATATTTGCAATTGTGAAATAATTGTTCTGTTACATCTAAAGTATTGCAGCCTACTTCTGTAAAGAAAAAGATTTCAACGTTAGTTTTTAACCACACTCTCCATTATACCAATTAACCTAACATAAGTGGCATTATGTAAATAATTTTCAACTATTTTAGTCTAGGAAATGTACTTGATTAGTAATTTAGCATTGATATGTGAATTTTTAATCAAAGCAATATGAGTTAAGATTTGTCCTGATTGTATCATTTTCTCCCTCCATCCTAGTATTCACCCTCCCCCTTCATCAAAGGTAACCCCAAGATGTCCTTGGTGAAATGGAGGGTAGGATCCTCTCGAGCCTATTTCTCAAGATAGGGTATGCTGTGGTAAGACATTTCAGACGAGCCTTCCCAATGATTGAATTCTTAAAGATTTGGCACAACGCGCATCCCCAAAGTTCAATCCCATGACCTCTCCTACTTAACAAAAAAGTGAGCAACATTGGTACCACATAGTTTATAAGACATATGTTGATAAAATTAAACATATCAACCTTAAGATATTCCCTCATATCCTAGTTATGAGGTATAAAGAATATTTTTCCCCTAATTATAAGGCTGTCTATAATAACCCAAAATTTTATTAAATATATATATATATAATATGATTAAGTATTCTGATTACATCATCATCATCATTTTCAATAGTTAAAAAAATTAATTAATTAATTAATTAATTGATATTAAGGTATTGTGATTTTATTTCTATTAATTTTTGGTACAGATATATCAAAAGAGAATGTTGGTTTAGTTTAATTGTGGCAATTTTTCCACTAAGCCCTCGGTTTTGAATCTCTTTTATGCCAAATAGAAGTTCTACTTATTTTACTCTTGTCTTTTGTGAAGTTATAATTTTTCCCCTATACATTTTCTTTTTAAAAAAAATAAATAAAAAAAATAAAAAAAAAAACAAAAATACAATCAATATGGAGAGATAAAAAACGCACAGCTCCTCTGCTTTCCATTGCTCATTTTCGAAAGCTCTAGAGTCAGCTAGGAGCCTCCTCCGCCTCTTGTCCATCCCTTATGATTGACAGACGGCGACCGTGAATGAGGAACTTTCCTCTCCTCTTCTGTCGTGCTGCTGTGTTAGAGCGGAGTTCTTCACCATCTCCCCTTATTTTTGCGTCATAGATCACTCAACCTAGCTAGTCATCGAGCTCGTCTGTCCATGGCCGTCGCTGCTAGAGTAGTCATTCGTTCGTCGACACAAAGGAGTTTTCGGTGAGTGTTTGGCCGCCTTCCGTTGGCTACTTTGGCATCTTCACTAGAACTGAAATTTCTGTGCTTTCCCCTGTTCGGTGCCGTTAGCTTCTTCTCTCTCCTTCCTTTAGGTGTGGTTAATGATCAGATGTGAGGCATTTCAGTTCTCCTCTTCCTTGTTGTTTGTGCATGCAATTGTTGGTTGAGATTGTGGAATTTCTCCTCCTTCCTTCTTTGCTGCCGAGAGGGATGTGGATGAAGATTTAATTTTATTTCAGCATTAAAATTGATTTATGTTGAAGGAGAAGCTTGGTCATTGGAAGAAAAAAATTTAATGAAATGGTTGTGATTTTTCCTTGTCCAACTGTTGTGTATGATTGCGTAGAGAGGGGGAGTGGATTAATCTGAAATTCAAAGCTTAGTTAAACATTTTCACTAAGCAATTCTGGTATGGCTGCTTGGGTAATGGTTAATGGAGATGAGTGTGAATTTAGGTTTTACCCTTGAAGTTAAAAGCTGATTTTTCTGTTGAAAACGTGGGATTTGAGGAGCTTTGTATTAAAATGTGTTAGGGAAGTCTTGCTTGTTCATGTACTTTCTGGAAATTGCGATAACTCTTATGAAGCATATTTGGTTTGGATTTAATATTTGTGAGTTTAATTGAGTATTAGCGAATGATTTGTCAAAGACAGAGCTAGTGTGTTATTAGATGAATTTTTTGAGTTATATGGTTGATATATTAGGAAGTGAGTATGTAAAATATTGAAGAAATTGAGAATTGGTTGATTAAATTTTAATGATTTAGAACATGATTGATTATGATATTGTAAATATTGGAAGATAATTTATTTGGTTGGAGTAACACTGTTAAATTATTCTTGATTTCGAATAGGGTGCTTAGAGGAAGGGAAATTTGAATAAAACACTAAGAAATAAATTCTAGTACTTGGACATACTAAAAGTAAGTGGATAACATCCCAGTATATTTATTAACAAATTTCTTTTCATTGAAATATTATTTTTCTCAAATATATTCATGTACTATTTCAAATGTTTAATATTTTGATAATTATATTGCTTTAAACTCTTGCAATTGTAATTTGTATAGTAAAAAGTAATGGAATATAATATTTCTACATATTCATTGTGAAATATACTTTGAAGGCTAATGAAAAGTTTTCCTAGCTCAAATAGTAAAATTTTTTATTTTATATATATATATATATATATATTTGATAAAAGCAAATGTGGAATTGGTGAAGAATTTTATATTGAAAAGAATTAGCTAGTTTGATGCGCCTTGGTAAATGATTAGCTAGTTTGATTTTCGTGAGTTTTGTTCTTACGTTTGTTATTCGTGGGCTTTGTACCCGCATTTGATTTCATGGCTTTAGTTGCGTTTAGTTATTGACTCTTGTGGACTGTGTGTTTAAGTTTGTTTTATGGCTTTAGCCGCGTTTGGTTATTTACCTTCGTGGACTGTGTGTTCACGTTTGTTACCTGTTTTGCAAAGTCTTCAGATTTAATTGATTTGGGACTATATATATATTTATATAAACTTTACCAATTTAAACAGTGAATGTCACTATTTTATTTACTTAATTTATTCTATTTTACAAGATCAAGTGCTAAAGTTTTGTTATTGTAAATTTACTTGTTCAATATTTTTGAAACTATATAGAATCTCTTAATCTTCAAATTCAATCTTGATATTATATTGATGTTCTCTTTTAATTGTGCAGCAATTTACTTGTGAATTTAATTATCTTGATTTTTATAAATTTTATTATTGGGATGTTATTCATTAGAAAAATATTTTTGGTCTTAAATAATGTAACCGGCTTGTAGTTCTTGAGGATCATTGAGAGGCTCATTGTTGAATTGACTAGAAGATCTTTTGATAATATCTTCTTTTTTATGTAAATATTTAATTATGCGTTATTTTGAAATTATGTTTTAGGCATTCCACGATAACTATAGATAAGATCTTGATCTGTAATTTATATTGTGTGGCTGTGTGACGGAGCAAAGCTCCATATTTTGATTTGGTTTTGTAAAGGGTTGTTGTGGAGATTTTTGGGAAGTCCCAATTATAGGGAAGGTTTTGCCAAAATTTTTACAAAAAGTTTAGGAATCTTTTGTTTATATATGAAAATGTTATAATGATTTCCCATCCTATTTCAAATGAATTAAAATATTATATTGAAGTTTTCTTGATTAAGGCATAAAGGATATATATTTGTACATATATCTCTTGTGGGTCACGTCTCATTTTTGGGGCTTGACAATGTCATTGATTTTTTTTTTAATCACAAAGTTTTCTTTTTATTCTCATCAGATAGTGGTGTGAGAGACAGTGTAATTATAGTCTTTATAAACTCTCAATTTATAAGATATTTTGTAATAACCCAGGAATTTAAAAAAAAATAAAATAAATATATATGTTTTATTTAGTTGTAGTTATATTAATTTTGGTGCAATTATGACAAGAGGAAGGGTTGGTATAGTGGAAGAGTGCATGTGATTTATATATGGGATCCAAAGTTCGAACCTGCTGAAGCATTTAGGAGCTATTCTTTTTAATTTTCTTTATTTTTAGCCTCTAAGTTACCAAAATGCCCTCAGCCTATCAGATATAATTTCTTTTTTCTTCTTCCTCTTTGCTGAATCGTGTTGGGCATCAGAGAGAGAGAGGGAAAGAAAAATCTGGAAGTTGCGTGCGACCTCTGTACCTTCTGCCATTCTCGACCTCTGATCTTCTTCTTCTTCGTTCCTTGTCACCGCCGACGAGGCAGACGAGTTGCCGTGAGGTCGCTGTCGCTGTGCGATGCCCAGGTTCTTGCTCGTTCTTCTCTGTCTCTGTTTGTCTTCTCCACTGTTGCTCTATTTTCGCTGTTCTCATGCGCGTCGTTGGTGTGCGTGAGAGTCAGGTTGCCAGCGCTGCAAACGTGGGCTATGATCGTCCACTGTTAGCAGTTCTAGTCATGAATCCATAGTTCTTCACTCTGCCGTCGATCTCTGTGCTTCTCTTCACTGTTTATGCTGTTGAAGTTTCTTCTTCTTCCTTCATCCTTCCCATTCGTAAGTGATAAATGAATGAAGGGTTGGTGTGATGCTATGGGAGAATTGATTCTTGGGTAGGAGGCTAGTTTAATGTTGTTATTTTGTTCCCCTGTTCAGCTGTGGTTGCATTTTCTTCTTCCCATTTGTGTTACGTTGGTGCATCTAAAGGGAGCAACTTTGATTTTTTTTTCTTTTCTTTATGGAATCTGTGAGTGTGAGAGGTTATAGAGTTGAATGGAAAATTTTTCTTTTGTGTTTTGTTGATACTCATGGCTATTTGTTCAAATATGAAGGGGAGGCTTGAATCAAAAAAAAAAACAGAGAGAGAGAAAGGAAAAGGATGATGTAGATTTGAGATTTAATTGAATTTGATCTAATTATTGGCTATAATACTGACCTTATGAAATCTTTGAAAGTGAAATTGATGAGGAAGAAGGTGGTATTTGTTTAAGTTATAATGCTCATAAAGTGTTTGATTAAATGCCCATGAGGGGACTTTTGTTTGAAATTATAATTATTAAAAATTTCATTAAATTACTTGGAAGACATAATTGGTTGGAATGCTATTATCTTATGAACTTAGTTTGAAATTTACAAAAGAAAATATTTGATTGGGTATTTTTCTATAATTTTGTTGGATCTCGTAAGAAACATGAATTGGCTTGGGTATTGCTCATTTGTGAATTTGAATCAAACATTGTGAAGAAATTTATTGAGAGATTAAGTGAATTCTTGAAAGTTTTATGGTTATTAATTTATAAAATATAGTGTTGCCTTATGATTTAATCTTAGAATCGAATGAGAACTGGAAAGAAATCTTTGTAATTATAGGAATTTAATTAAATTGCATTATCTTATATTCTTATAGGGGGTTTGGAAGAAGAAGATTTTGATAGGAACTAAAAGGGAGAAAATCTTTGAAAATTTGGGAATACCACAGGTAAGTGGATAACGTCCCAATCAATATATATTGAAAATATTTCCTTTTCAAAAGATCGCTTTTAATAATTTATGGATATTTATAAATTTCTCTTGCTTTAGCTACTTTGTTTATTAAATTGCTCTGCTTCTTAAAGTCATGACTTATACTTTTTATATTGATGAAAATGCTTTCTTAAATTCTAGTAGTGCTTTATTTGATAAAGCTAATTAAAAAAAAATTTGTGACCAGTTTATGAGATATTAATTGTGAATTTTATATTTAGAATTATAGGTGCTCTTATATGTTTCATGCGAGTTAGATTTTTAAAAGAGAAATAGTATTTTGAAAGTGATGATTTTCTCGCATGTCTGAAAGTGAATTTAAAAGGGGACTGTATACAGAACGCTGGTTGCTAACGGCAGTTTCGTTAGCCCTTGGCGCGCCATGGTCAAATACTAGCTAGTTTGGATTTCGTGAGCTTTGTTCTCACGTCTGTTATTCGTGGGTCTTGTACCTGCGTCTGTTTCGTGGCTTTGACCACGTCTGGTTAGTTACCCTCGTGGACTATGTGTCCACGTCTGTTTCGTGGCTTCGGCTACGTCTGGTTATTTACCCCTGTGGACTTTGTGTCCATGTTTGTTTTCGTGGCATAAGCCGCGTTTGGTGATTTATTCTTGTGGACTGTGTGTCCACATTTGTTACTTGTTCTGATAAGTCCCTATACTTATGAGTTTTTAAATTTTTATGGATCTATTTTCATTGGTTTTGATTAATGACATGTTTACAATTAGTTATTGCAATTATTTGCTTTATTAAAGTTAAATGATAATGACATTTGATAAGATACTTTAATGAATTATGATTTTATTTAAAGTTACATAGGATCCTTTTATTCCGAATTTATTTAAATCTTCATGGAGATTATTATGTTTTAATTTTCCTTTTATTCATGTTTAATTAGTTATTATTGGGACGTTATTCACTGGAAAATAATTGTTGGTCTCAGATAGTGTAGCTGACGCTGAAACATCTACTGAACATTGAGGAGTTTGTGATTGATTAGAAGCGGAGGAGCTAAGGGTTAAACTTTCTCTTGACGTAAAGTTTTAATTATGAAATTTTATTTTGTAAACTTATTGTTAGGTGCTCCACATAGTCTGTGGTCAGGTTGTTTATGTGGTTATATATTTTGTCTATTGGCTGGAAGGAGCTCTACTCCTGATTGGCTTGATATTTTTGGTTGAAATATTGTTTTGTAGAATTTTCGAGAGATCTTATTTACAGAGGAGATTCTGTCGAAATTTCTACAAAAATATTGAGACTTTTATTACTACCAAAAATGTTTATGTATGTTCTAATTCAAACTAAAATATAATTATCTTTTAGTTATGAAAAGGTTATCCAAATCTTAGGTTTAAGGGATGTGTGATGGATCACATCCTTTGTCGGTCACCCTCTATTTTTGGGGTGTGACATATTCATTTTTAGAAAAATACATATATTAATGAAGTTTATTAAACATATTTTACCCAAACTTCTTTCATTTCCTCCCATTCCATGAAATGGTGGTGGGCGTGGTTTTCTTTCTATCAATATATTAACATCTAAAATTTCATGTCAATTGAGCACATTCTTCTTATATTTTAATATATTTTTGGCATAATTGTATATATTGTGATTGCTCAAATTAAAAAAATGTATATTTTGCTTTGGGTTTACACACTTAGTTTTAATTTAATATTTTTGGTTTAAAATTAGGATGAAAGTAATTCTGGACCTTTAATGATGCTTTTGGGTTGTTTTTAGAAGAAAAAATCGGATACAGAGATGAATTACCACGCTAATTGGGAAAAAGTGCACATTTAGCCAAAGTCGTGACTTTATTCGCAACTTCACTGTTGACGACAAAATGTTACAATTTTTTTTTTAAGCTAAAAAAGCTTGGGTAGTACATATACATGGCTTGCTTGACCCAGAACACATTCTCTAAACATCTTTCATCTCCAGGAAGTCCCTCAAATTATTTTTTGCAGGCTTAAGAATATGATAATTAAGGTCGCGTTTAAGATAGTTTAAGACAGTTTGGACTTTGAAAAATTTCATAACATATTAAGTTTATGGCTTAATTAATATTATGAAGAAATATTCCATGGTAATTTAAATTTACCATGTAATTATTTAAGTAAGGAGAATTTACTCATAAGGAAACGAATTTCAGAATTTAATTTCAAAACATATTTTTTATGAAGGAAAAATTTATAAGATTGAATGAAATTAAATAAATAGTATCTAAAATTTTTGAGAATTTATATTTACTTAAATATTTAAGTTAAGATTTAATTTTTGTTCTTTTAAAAGAACCTTGATTAATAGCAAATAAATAAAAAGTAAAAGGTAAGATAAGATAAGACAATGACAAAATAAAAAGAAAAGGACGAAATAAATAAAAAATAAAAGGAATAATATGCAAATCAACAGTGGGCACGTGGCCGACTATTTGTCAATTTATCCAAAAAAAAAAAGTTTATAAATACCTGGAATCAGACCCCGTAGTGACGTGAGGCATTATGGTTTTCGGCGGCAACCTAAGAGAAATCGCGAGAGAGGAAAGAAAAGGAGTGTTATCGCTGGCGAGGAGAAATTTTTAGGGAACCTGTACAGATATTTTCATACTACATTAAAGCTTTTTAAGACGGGATAAGTATCTTAAAATTTTTGTTCTAGCTAAAATTATAAGATTTAGGTAGATTTAAAATTCGAGACAGATCTAGAGACTGGGTAAAAAAATTGAGTGATGATTCTAGGATTGTCTTGGAAGGATAGAAAATAACTTTAGAGAGCTTTAGATGACTGTGAGTAATTCTAAGAGCTGTACAGATTATTATTAGATCTCTCCAGATCAACTTATAAATTAAGAGTGAATATAGAGAATAAACTATAACTAATTATAATTTATTTTAATTATTTTGTGATGAAAATTTTACTTACTGAATATTTAGGACTTAGAAAACAAGCTCACAAGTACTTTGAAGTTAAAAGGTAATGATTAATATGATTTAGAGTTGTTTGGGAGAATCTTTAGGGAGCTCTAATTACGGTTAGAAATATATATAAAAAATGAATAGAGTTTTTTTTTTTTTTGCCAACTTGATAAAATGAATAAAGTTTAACAAGAATAGTTCTAAATCGTTAAATATAACCTCCATGAGTACTTTGAGACAACTTGAGAACAATAAATAATTAAATATAAATTTTATGTGACTCTAAATTATTATTTATGGATTTGTTAGGAGTTTTTTAAGGGACTCCTTAATTTGGCTTTGATATTTGAGTTAATTAGAGGATTTTTTTATAGAGAAACCTCGGGTTCTTTGGATGAAATCGAACCAAGTTAACTTCTTTTAGATTACTTTGTATTCACGCATTGGTAGATAACTATAAATTTTATAATACTCATATTGAACTGAATCTGAAAACACACGCCTATTATAATGTTTTGTGAAAATCTCGTCTCGTGAAGAGTAAAAAGGAAATTGGTAATTTATGTTGCATAGTGAAACCATTAGGAATGTTACATTGCTTATCTAAAAAATTTAGCATTGGTTAGATGCTAATTGATATTGGTTGATTGTATAATTTAATTGTGATGATAGTGTAATGGTGTAAAATTTGATTCTAATGTGAGGATTCTATAATATCCTGAATTTTGGGCCTAGCAGCTTAAGAATATGCAAGAATTTAGTAAGCTACCAAGCCAAAGTAATCAAAAATTCCTAAAGTGCCCTGAAAAGATAGAATGATTCTTAAAGACCAAATCATAATTTTAAAGTTCTTGGACAAAAGCATAATATTTTTAGAGACTTTAAGGAAATGTCTATAACTGAGGAATGAGCAAGCCCAGAAGTGTCCAAGATAGGTTAAAGAAATAAACAATGCCTAAGAGGATAACAAAGGTATCTAATATTTGTTTTGGAGAATAATTAGGAAAGTTGACAAATTAAACAATGGTAGATTTATTTAACAACTTTATTCTTATGTCCTGAGTCTCCTAGAAAAGGATCATAGTTAGATTCTATAGATTATAGTAGATCCAAAAAGGGCTCAGCGAGATCACAGTAGACCTAGTGGGAAGTTATTGAGCCATAGAGTCTACGACAGTTTCTCTAGAAAAACGATGGTCTAAAATGAGTTTAGAATATAGAGACCTCTTAAGTTTGGACAACTACTATTGTAGAGAGGGTGTCCTTGACTTTTTCTTAAATAATTCAACTATTAACTAGGCTAAGAAATGAAAGAGAAGAAAAGTGAGTAAGAGTAATAGCCTATCCAAAACTAAATGATAATTATTAATGTTCAAGGGAAATTATATGCAATTAAATATAGTGAGAGTATGAGAAAGTACCCAGAGTTTAAAATGATAAAAAATGAATTTTAATCCAAAAATGTCAAACTTGATTGAGGTCAGAATGTAATTTTTGAAAGTTTTAGGTCTTAAAGTGTAATTATAGAAAATACAATTAGCATATGAAAGGATGAAATATTTGCAAGAGAAATACCAATTTTATTGGTTAAGAATTTTTAAAGGAATTTATTATAGAAATAAATTCATTTAGGTTAAGAAAATACCCAAAATTCTAGTTAAGATTAAAAATTCATGGGATGCTAATCCAAGCCAAGGGTTGGTGGACGTGGCTTTGGATCAGAAAAGGGGAAGAAATTATCCATTTTTACTTGGACACAAATTAACCAAGCCAAATTGGAAATCTGAAGAAATAAAATAAAATTGATGAGAAATTAATAAAATTTAGTGGGAGACACTTGGCAATATTGTAGCTTAATAAATGACTGAGTGTCTCACCCTTATTGGACCACATCTTGACCGACTTCCCCAAACCGATGTATTCTTCATTAGTTTCAGTATTTTGATAATTTGGGAACGTCCTTGTTAAGCTGAAAACGGAAAGGAGTAAAGAGAGAAAAGTTGGAGCTCGCGAAGATGTCAAATGGCGGACATGAGGGTTTGAGCTTTTACCATTAATTTCTTCCATTAAACGTTAAAGTTCCTTTAGGAAAAGAAAAAGAAATGTTCGTCTCTTTATGGGCTTCACATCTTTGGTTCTATATCTTCCATTGATGAAGAAATTGATCTCAAGAGCTAGCTTAAAGAGGTAGAATTAAGGAACAAATTCTATAATCTTCAAGAGGCAGGTAAGCATTCTTCAATTATTAGTGTGATTGGGTTGATGATTTATCTGAGAAACCTTGTATAACCTACAGTCCTGTCTCAGATATATTTAAAGTAAAAGGATTTACATAAGAAAATGTTATGTCTGTGAATGCTAGAATGGATTAAATCGCGATAGAGATAAAATATGCATATCTGGACCCAGGATACACTACAAAGAAACAACAAATTAACAATGGAATTTAGTGACAGAAATTTATATCGTCTCTAATCTGTCACAAATCCGCGCTAATTCTGTCACTAAATTTAGCAATTGAACATTCTGTCACTAACAACTTAGTTGATATTCCATCGTTAAATCATTAGAAATAATTTTATTGACGGCATTTAGTGACAAAACGTTCTATCGCTAAAAATTCTGTTACTATTCTATCGCTAAACCGTTAGAAATAATTTAGTGATAGATTTTTTTTTTTGAGGGAAATGCCCATTGCTAATTTTCAAGATATGTTATTTTCATTTTGTAACGAAACTTCTGTCACAAACCTTTCCATCATAATTCCATTACAAATTATTTTAAATTTTATTATATGATTTATAATATATATTTATGTATAATTTATTTAATAATTTATTATGCTATAAATAAATAATTTAATAATTATAGTTTATAATTTTAAATTATTTAGATATTAATAATAATTATAATAATTTAAATTATATATTTAATTATTTTTTTATAACATAGTAATATACCTAATTATTTTTATTAAAAAATAAAAATATTTCAAAAAAATAATGTGAAAATATAAAATTTTATATATTATAAAAATGATAATAAAATATATAGTGATAATAAATTATTTTTTCATTTTAATATTAAATTTTTTATCAAAAAATAATTTTTTAAAATTATAATATAATATAAAATAATTATTATATAAAAATTTAATTTATTTTATTGATATATAAAAATAATGTTAAATAAAATAAATATATTATATAAAAACCTCAGTGTTTGGACTTTCTTTCAAGATGTTGATATTATAATAATTTTATATTATTTAGATATTAATAATAATTATAATAATTTAAATTATATATTTAATTATTTTTTTGATAACATAGTAACATACCTAATTATTG